CTTCGCACCCGCCACATTCGTGTCCCAGTAGACCTGCATGGCCTTCTGGGGCGGCTGGGGGGCCTGGTCGTGCTCGGGGAGAGCTAGGAGAAGCGCCAGCCACATGTGCGTCCAGGGCGGCCCGTGCCCGTGGCCCTTGCCCGCCTCCTTGCAGGTCGCGTGGTGCTTCTTGCCTGCTGCCGATATCATCACCACCGCCGCGTGTTCTGCTGGCATACTGAAACAACTGTAGCACGCGCCAATGGGTTCGGCCATGTCCCTGAGGTTGGCCAGACAGAGTCTGGCGTGGACCTTGACAGGCGCCATGAGAGGACCCAACTGATGTCGTTGCATGGTGCCCTGCGTCTCCTCTCTGACGTCCTCGATTGTGAGCTTCTTCTTGGGCGGTGGCTCCTTCTTGGCCTCGCCCCCCTGCTGCGCATTGGGTTGGCTCGGGAGTCCTCGGGCCGGGAGCTTGAGCTGCCGATCTGCCGCCGCGCTGGATGCTACCCCCCCGCCGTTGCCGTTTTCGACATCTGCCTTGTCGGCCTGGCCCATTGTGATCGTGGACTATGGGAAGAAAAGTAAAGTGCTCTCGAAAATGTTGATGAAGACGCCGTCGCTCGAGCCCAAATGCGTGACAGATAGTGCATGCGTAAGTGTTGTCATTCACCCCCGCCACTCTGGACGCGTCGGATCGCCCTTTGATGCATGTGCCCGTTCGGAACGGATCCACTAGACGTTTGTAAGATGACTTCCGGGCTCAGCATACTTGACCACATACAAAGCATTGATTGTCTGTTGCTCGTGTCCCCAAGAGACTCTGGAGCACTTGGTGCTGGTGTAGATGACTAGCAAGCTGTCGCCGAGTTCCAAATCGCCTATCGCACCCAAGAATACAGCACCTATAACTATCGTCATCTTCGTTACCTCATGGAGGTTGCTGTTCAGGAATAATAGGCCTGGCCTGGGGCCCTGACGTCGGGGGCCCTCGCAGTCCACGCGGCAGCTCGAACTTGCGAGAGGCCGGGCCGACATAACCAATCAGAGAGATCAGGATAGCCGAAGAGGACGACGGCCACATTCCTCGATGGTGTCAGAGTGCCCCCCCCCCCCAGCCCACTTAGACTCTGAATATCTTGAACAAATCCATGTGCCCAGGGAGAGGCATGAACTGTCAGGTGGCCTCGTTCATCTATGACCTGGATGCCTCGCTCGCGTTCCACGCGAATAGCAGCGCGCAAGGCGCCCCAGTCTGCTGCGTGGTAGTGAGGCTCACGCACCCACTTCTGCTGCCACTTCAGGCGGCGAACTCTGAGCGCAACCTCAGTCGGGACAAATCGCCGCAGCTGTAGGACTCTCTGGGCAGGAATGGAGCGCCGGCGGCTGTCGCGCCACTCTGCGGCGGCGCCTCGCAGCGCTTGACGGCCATATGTAAGTACAAGGTTGTGGATCATGGCAGTCTGGGTCGGGGAAGGTAGGAAGGCCTCCAAAGCCGAGACAGCAGGCCCCGCTACTTTGCTCAAGAACATAGCACGCTGTTCAACATATAGTATACGAGGAGCGCACCAGGAAGGCCCCATGGACCAGTGGCCAGCCGATGAAGCCGAGAGCCGAGCCTCCAATTCACGGCTAAACTTGCCATCGTATCTACCGAGCGACAAGATTTAGCCGCGTCGTTAGGAATCCCAGCCTTAGGTAATGCACCAGCCTTGGTACTTGCATTCCCAAGTGGTTGACCTGGGCCCCGGGGGGAGACGACGCTTTCGTTCTCGGCGGGGTTAAGCCTGCAGTTCCGCCTGGCCAAGCAAGGAGACTAACGACTGCCTACAAATAGATACTGCCCCATTTCATCTGGACCAGCAGCCAACTTGCGCAGCCCATCGTCTACATGGCTACGCATGGAAAGATCAAGCTCAATTGCCCCCTGGCCTTGCGGGCGCAACCCAACCGCGCGCCAGTCCGCAGCGCGTTCGCTCGCGGCAGCGCATTCAGCCTGCGCCTCTTCAAAGCGGCCCCCGATCTCACGCATTGCAACCTCGACGGCCCAAGGGCCCCCCTGCAAAGCTCCAACCCATGGTTTTGCAAGCCGATGCCCATCCGCTCCTCGGAAGCACGCCGCTGACCACTTGAACGTCTGCCCCCCCCCATGACTGGCCCCCGTCCTTCCTCGTGCTATCCTGATTCGCTGTCTCGAATGCCTCCCAGCTGCTGGGCCCAAACGTATTCGTGATATCTGCGTGATCATTGGCGAATTCAAGACCTAGCCGACGAGGTGCTCAGCTCAATGCTCGTTGGGCGAGAAGAGGGGCCCCTCTGCGACGTCTGGCAATGCGCCAATGCGATGAAAGGGGGCCCCATCCCGTTGGGCGGGGCCGATGCGCGCATCAATACAAGCCTTGCCAAATGGACAGGGCACATGCGCCGCGCGCTTCCATGAAAGCGCCGCTGCCTGAGAGAGACGCCATGCGAGAGGGGCCTGCCTGGCTCGTCGACTTGCGCGTGGGAGACAGCAACGCGCATCGGACAAGCTTTAGCTCGGTGTTCGGCGCCTCGCATCCTACTCCACGGAATCGCCCTGGCGTTCTTGCGCGGCAGAATATCATCCAAAACAACTCCATCGGGACCGACCAGTCCGGAAGAGCTCTCCGTCTCCCTGTTGTCCCCGCGCACTTGCGGATCTGTTTGGGTTTGCCCCTTGCCCCTTGCCAAGTCCGCCCCCTCCTCCGCGCAATGCCCCCCCGAAAAAATGCGCCTCCTGTCCCTCCGTAGGATGGGAAAGGTAATCGCTGGCAGATTGTACCCAGTCGATAATCTGAGCCTGCCTCCCTCCCTGCGATGAGGGGATGAGCCACCTATCCTGCAGCCCCTGGCCCGTCGGCAAGGCCGAAGGGGGGGGGGCGTCGGTAGTTCCGTTTCTTGGCCCCTGTCCAACGTGCCGAAAGAAGCCGAGACAACCTGGCCACCTCATCCTGTCTGCCTAGCTTCGTCGCCGCATGCAGCCCGTCAGTAGCGGCATATCTCCACTGCTTAAAATACTGGCGCCAAGCGCGCGGAGCTGCTTGGGCCGCGCGCGAATTTCCTCTGAAATGGAAAGGACCGCTTCGGCAGGGAATGTCCCATCGGCAATTTCCAAGCGAAGCTGTCGGCGTGCATGTAGCCTCTCTAGAACGGCCCTGGCACGCTCAGAAAAACCTGGCGCGGGCAGCGCAGACCCTGCACTCAACTTCCCGACGGTCTCACTGAGCACTCGTTCTTTTGTTTGAAAAAATGAAAAGAGAACGCACCTCTCCGCGTTGGGCGTCTGGTCCTCCCTCCAATGCTGCTGCCACTGCCCCTGCTCCTCCGTCATCCTAGCTGCCAGAGCAAGCGGGACATCGGCCCTTCCCGTGTCCATTCGAAGGCTGTTCATTGGAGCTTTTATTCCAGCGCGCGCGTCTAGGAACAAACCCTGCTCGATTGTCTTCGTTTACCCCCAATATCCTCAGAGCTTGTGGTAGCAGCGATATCGTAACTAAATCTTGCAAGTCTGTGAAGATGGCCCCCATGTAAGAGGTTGTGGTTTTCTAGCCAGTTGGCGGATCGGTCCTGCAGACATGACCTGTGGCAGCGCACAGCGGGGGATGAACCCATAGTCCAGCCTTGCAAGGGCCCCCGAGGAGCTGACATACGCAGGGTCCGCCCCGAGGTGCAAACTGATGGGTACAAGGTCTAGGGCCTGGATAATCTGGAGCACCACGTCCGCAGCATATCGTTGTTTAGCGGGGGGGGGGGGCTTGGAACCCAGGCGATCATCTTCAACTGCCGTCCAATCTTCACCCCCGCGCAGCCGCTGCAACCCGAATCCAGAATTAAATCTCATCGATAGAATTGGAAAAATAGCGGGTAACACCAAGAACTGGTAGAGTTCCGATCCGTTTCCCGATGTAGTCGCACGTGCGCACAGAGCTGGGGTAGCCAGGCGCTCTCTGAGGCGGAGGTGGGACATTTATGCTTGCTGCTCCTGTGTCATACTGGCTGCAACGTGCCCTGAACGCAACTCCTCGCCCAACTTTGTAGGGCACGGCGGCCCAAGAGTGGGTAACTGTGCCGCGACGGACGCGCGGCCCCAGCATCCGCGGTGCACCCCGAACTCTTGTTGCTGCCTGGGGCGCGCGCCCAGCCCGCCTCTACTGCCCATCTCTTGCCTGCTCGCCTCCAGGCTATCTCCTCCTGCCCATACAGTCAACAACCCGAGTAAGGACCCGCGGCTTTGCTCAGGGTACCCGTGCGTCCTTGCTTTTCCTTGCTCTTGCGTCCTTGAGGTTTTCGTCGTCCGCCGCCCCAGAAATCCCATCCCAACTTCGGCTTCCAAATTTCTTGCGTCCTTACCGCGCGTCCTTATTCGGACTTTTGATTGTATCTTCGAGATTCCGCCCCTGCGAGGCATACAAAGTCGAATTCACTGGTAGTCTGTTCAATATCTCGCAGTCGATCGTAGGAATTTGCTGGTAATGGTTATAACGCATTGCTGACACTTCGTGAAGCCGTCGAAACATGTCGCTGCTGATGGTCAGCAGCGACCGAATGAATATATGCATCCAAGACGCGAGAAGCATCAAGAGAGAGACATTGAAAGTGCGTGTCAGCTTGCAGCCCAACGGATGTGTGGGGGAACCAAGAAATAGATCGAGATCCTTCACTATCGGAATGTGCCCCCACCTGCGGGCCAGGGCTCAGAAGGAGGAAAAGGAGGAGGAGGAGGAGGAGGAGGAGGAGGAGGAGGAGGAGGAGGAGGCGGAGGAGGAGGAGGAGGAGGAGGAGGAGGAGGGGGGGAGCGTAGCAAGGCGGAGGCGGCGACACGAAACGGGTCTGACGCGAGACGGCATAGCGACACTGCGCCGTGGCTTGCGTGGGCCGCCACCGTGGCACACCGCGTGGAGAAGAGGGCGCCCACGCGCGGCCTGACGCAGGAAGCTTGCGTCGCCCACCTGGCAGCTGGGAAAGGAGGAAGGCTTTCGTGCTGTCGCTCGGGGGAGCAGGACGGAGGAGGAGGACGAGGAGGAGAGATCGCTGGGATTGGGGGGAATAAAAAAACGGCTGCACCTCTGGACTGCAAGTTCTGGCGTCAGCACAGCCGCAAACATGAATCCGAGGTCCGCGCTGCTAAGACAGGTCGGGCGCTGTCGAACCTCGACAGGAGGATGATGAAGGAGTGGAACGTCAGGGGGGACCGGATCAGGGGAAAATTATCGAGCTGGATTCGGCGATATATCGCCGATCGATCGGCGATGTGTAGGCCCCCGACATCGAAACCGCGCGTTCTATCGGGCTACTATTGGCGATGACTGTGCAATTGGGGGTCGATGCATTCCCCCATGAACCGATCCCCCCTAGCGCTGCTCAGGCAGGAAGGAGGATGCAGAAGAGGTTTGCCGCAGCCAGCTGCCCGAAAGGCTCCATGCCCAGCAGAAAAAAAAGGTTTGTATGACGATAGCGCGCCGCCTCCCCCGCAGGCGCACGCGACTATTTCAAGCAGCACGTGCCGCGAGTGCCAGACGACACGCATCAGCAAAATCACGCCTTCGACGTGGCGTGCACCTATTCTCTTATACTGACGCCTACTGAACAGGACCTGACCAGACCCACCGGGCGACGCGGCGGGCTCGGGCTCCCTGGGAAGGGCGCGGAGAACCAGGATGCCCATGGGGAGTCAGGACCCACCCGTCGGCTGCACGCAAGAACTGGCCCTCGGCAAGGACGGACCTCTGGTGCGTGGGTGTACAAGGCCACGGGGAGGAGGAGGAGGAGGAGGAGGAGGAGGAGGAGGAGGAGGAGGAGGAGGAGGAGGAGGAGGAGGAGGAGGAGGAGGAGGAGGAGGAGGAGGAGGAGGGGGGGGGAAGCGAGTCCAAAGCGAGCGCCGCCTGTGCCAGGGGGGGGCCCCCGCGGGCTCGCGCCGAGGGTCACTCCAGCGAAGGGTCACGCTCTGGTGCACGGCAGGTTCGCGTGATGGCGACTGGTGCGTTGGTTTTTGGCACGGCGTGGAACATTCAACCTTCGAGCGATCACGGCGGTCCGATGGCGCGGATCTTTAGATACCGGCCGATGCCCGACCGCTGGCAGCGTTCCACCTTGCACGCCCTTCATGGGATCCCCACCGCGTCGACGCAGCGCGAACCTACTGCAACCGAGCGTGGGTGGCGGTTGGGTCGGGCCTGGTCCATCGGGTGACCATGTGGCTCTTATCTGGCACCGCAGACGGTGCTGGCGCTGCCGCCGAGCAGCCCCACCGTGGCCTCCGGAAGGGCGGGCAGCGCGTGCTGCGGCAGGCAGAAAACTCTCAGAGCCGACGCTGCGAAACAATGAAAACATCGGCACAAATCACGACTGGAGCCCCACGGTCAGGAACTTCAAGACCGCGTGTCGCGGCGGCGGCCCCAGCGACAAGGTATGCTTTACGAGTGGATAGCGTGTCGCTCCGCTCCGCGGGGCAGGAGGCTGGGAAAAGTTCAGGACGTTAACGCTTGAGACTGGGAAGTGGATAGCGTGTCGCAACGAAGCGTGGTGGGCCAGAGCCCGCGGACCCCATCTTTCTGCGGCATCTTTCGAGCCGAATCGATCTGCGATGGTTCCGGGGCCCGATGCAGGGCAAACTCGCTCGCCGCCAAAAAATCCGACGCCAAGACCTCAGGGAACGCCAGGGCTGTGCAAACGGGGGCTGCACGGGGCCCTGGTTTCCCAGACCCCCGACGTCACGATTTCTCATGACGTGGTCCACCGAAGGTCTCGACCCTTTCCCTGGGACTGGCTTTTCATCCCGACTCTCGTTCCTTGAGGCCTGGCGAGGCCCCAAAAGGCCGAGCACAACCGAGCACCGCCCGTCGTGATCTTTTTGTTATGCGAGGCGGGGAGTCATCCATGTCCACCGCCTGGGAACCAGCGCCCTGGTGCCCCGGCGGGCGGTGGCTACGGATATGTCCAGATCCGCCGCTGCCGAGTTCCCCGGGAAATTGATCCTCCAGGCGGTGACCATGCACCCAGACATGCGACGTCCTGATTTTTGTCAGGACGGCGTCCCTGGAAGTCCCGACCTGTCCCCTGGGACCGGCTTTTCGTCCTGACTCGTTTTTTGATGGTCCCGAGGCACGGCGAGGGCCCCCCGAGGCCGAAAACGACAGAAGACCCGCCGTCCTGATTTTTTTACGGCGCGATCACTTCTGGGAACCATCCACTGATTGGGGTTTCTCTCTGGTGCAATGCTCAGTTCTAATGGTGCTCGTTTCTGATTGCTCCTGGCCCCCCTAGTGGCCAGGAGGCCCAGGATAGAACAGTTAGGAACGAAAGGACCCTGGCCCCCCCAAAAATCAAAGAGAACTCTCGACGACTTCGAAACGAACAACGCGTACGCATTCCCGCCTCGGATTTCGCCCCCCGCGCGGGCCCGGGACTTTTTCAATACGGGGCCCCTGGCCGTCTCGACCCCTTCCCCAGGACCGGCTCTTCATCCCGAGTCGTGTTTTGACAGTCGGCGGGGGCCCCACGAAGGCCGAAAACTTCGAAAAACCTCCGTCCCGATTTTTTTCAATGCGTTGGATCTCTGGATTCCCGCCTCGCATTTTACCCTCAAGTCGGGCCTGTCTCCCTACAAGGGGGCCTTCGACGAAAAATGCAAAAAAAACCATTATCAAACAATCATCAACACATAACCTGGGGACTATTTTTTGAAGTTCTTTTGGCCATTTTGGAAGAATATTTTTGGGGTATCTTTTATTTTCCATCGAAAATCCCCCTGTAGGGGGACAGGCCCGAGTTAATTCTACTCCTGCTGCCTGGTGGCACTGGTCGCTCTGACGGCACCCCTCGTCTGGGCCTCTCCGCTGCAGCGCAGGCTTCCCCTGCCTCTCCGCTGCAGCGCAGCGAAGGCCGAAAGCTTAGAAAAACCTCCGTCCCGATTTTTTCAATGCGTTGGATCTCTGGATTCCCGCCTCGCATTTTACCATTAAGTCGGGCCTGCCTCCCTACAGGGGGATTTTCGACGAAAAATACAAAATACCCGTAACACAATAACCAAAAATAATCAAAACATAGCCTGGGGAGCATGTTTTGCGCATGTTTTGACAATGTTGGAACATTTTGGGGGTATTTTTTGTTTCCTCGACAACCCCCTTTAATTGTTACTTACACTCAAAACTTATGCTGAGAAATCTTCCAGTAAGAAATTGAGACCCAGCTTCGCTGAATTTCTTAGCCCCCTTGCGAGAGCCAGCTTTGAAGCGTGCAATTTCTTAGCGCAGCGCGACGCCAATGTGGGTGGTTCCGATGAAGATTGTGCCGGTAATTGTGCCGATTGCGGCGCCGGGGGCTCTGCAGCAAACAACATACAGGAACACGTCAAGATCTGGGCGAGGATCTGGGTGGTGATCTGGGGGAATATCCGGGGGAACAGCCAAAGCAAAATCCGGGAGGCGATCTATGGAAATGTGTAAGAAGATCTGGGGGAAGATGTGGAGGAAGATCTGGAGAAATATCTGCAGGAACATATGGGGGGAGATCTGGAGGAGTATTTGGATGAACGCACGGGGAACAAACTAGAGGAATATCTGGAAAAAGATCTGGAGGAAGATCTGGAGGAAGATCTGGAGGAAGATCTGGAGGAAGATCTAGAGAAAAGATCTGGAGGAAGATCTCGAGGAACCTCTGGAGGAAGATCTGGAGGAAGATCTGGAGGAAAATCTGGAAGAAGATCTGGAGGAAAATCTGGAGGAAGATCTGGAGGAAGATCTGGGGGAAGATCTGGAGGAAGATCTGGGGGAAGATCTGGAGGAAGATCTGGAGGAAGATCTGGAGGAAGATCTGGAGAAAATCTGGAGGAAGATCTGCAGGAAGATCTGGAGGAAGATCTGGAGAAAGATCTGGAGGAAGATCTGGGGGAAAATCTGGAGGGAGATCTGGAGGAAGATCTGGAGGAAGATCTGGAGGAAGATCTGGAGGAAGAGTTCTGGAGGAAAAGCTCCGGGGGAAGATCTGGAGGAAGATCTGGAGGAAGATCTGGAAGAAGATCTGGAGGAAGATCTGGAATAATATCTGGAGGAATATCCGGAGGAAGATATGGAGGAAGATGGGAGTGGATATGGGAGAAGATCTGAAACGACGATTTGGGAAAAGATATTGAGGAAGATCTGGAGGAATATCTGGGGATTCATGAGAGGGAAGATATGGAGGAAGATCGGACGAGATGTGTGAAGATATTGATGAGGATCTGCGGGGGGATCTAAAGATCATGCAAGCTGGAGGAAGATCTGGAGGAAGATCTGGAGGAAGATCTGGAGGAAGATAAGGAGGAAGATCTGGAGGAAGACCTGGAGGAAGATCTGGAAGAAAATCTGGAGGAAGATCTGAAGGAAGATCTGGAGGAAAATCTGGAGGAAGAGTTCTGGAGGAAGAGTTCTGAAGGAAGATCTGGAGGAAGATCCGGGGGAAGATCTGGAGGAAGATTTGGGGGAAGATCTGGAGGAAGATCTGGAAGAATATCTGGAGGAAGATCTGGAGGAAGATCTGGGGGAAGATCTGGAGGAAAATCTGGAGGAAGATCTGGAGGAAGATTTGGAGGAAGATCTCGATGAAGATCTGGAGGAAGATCTGGAGGGACTCCAGGGGGAAGATCTGGGTGAAGATCTGGGGGGAAGATCTGGAACAAGATATGATGGAGGAAGATCTGGGAGGAAGGTCTGTGATGAAGATCTGAGAGGAAGATCTGGGAGGAAGATCTGGGAGGAAGATCTGGGTGAATATCTGGGTGAATATCTGGGAGGAAGATCTGGGAGGAAGATCTGGAGGAAGATATGGAAGAAGATATGATGGTTATGCTGGTGGCTCTGTTGGTGGTTGCGCTGGTCTCTGTGCTGTCGGTCGTGCTGCTCGTTTTGATGGTGGTTTCGCTGGTGACGATTTTGCTGGTGGTGGCGCTGCTAGTTGCGATAGTGGTTGCGCTCGTGGTGGTGGTGGTTGCGATGGTATGTCTGCCACTAGTTTTGCTGGAGAGGCGGATGGTGGTTTGGCACGCTGGCGGAGGAAACACCCAGTGGATAAAGTGCTGGTGCGTTGGCGGAGATTTCGAATCCATTTCTTTGTTAATACTTGCGCCGGTGGCTTCGCCCTGGAACGACTCCGGACGATTGCCGGCCTGTGCGATGCACTCCACGGAACCCCAAAGGCCTGTTGTTCATGGCGCCCCACAGGCCCGTCCTTGGAAGAGGGGCTTCCGTTGAATATCTGGAGGAACAGCCGGGAGGGGAAGATCTGGAGGAAGATCTGGGAGAAGATCTAGAAGAGAGATCTGAGAGAAAATCTGGGGGAAGATCTGGTGAAAGAGCTGCGTGGCGACCCGGAGGAAGATCTGGAGGAAGATCTGGAGGAAGATCTGGGGGAAGATCTGGAGGAAGATTTGGGGGAAGATCTGGAGGAAGATCTGGAGGAAGATCTGGAGGAAGATCTGAAGGAAGATTTGGAGGAAGATCTGGAGGAAGATCTGGAGGAAGATCTTGGGGAAGATCTGGAGGAAGATCTGGAGGAAGATCTGGGGGAAGATCTGGAGGAAAATCTGGAGGAAGATCTGGAGGAAGATTTGGGGGAAGATCTGGAGGAAGATCTGGAGGAAGATCTGGAGGAAGATCTGAAGGAAGATCTGGGGGAAGATCTCGAGGAACCTCTGGGGGAAGAGCTGGGGGGAAGATCTGGAGAA